GAATTGCTGGTATGTATTCTTTAAAATAGGATGTTCTGTTTCATGCAGTCGGGATTTTTTGGAGGTGGCTGTGATACTAGGATTAAGTGTGTATGGTACTAAATCCACTGGTTTGGCATAGTTTTGGGTGTGGATAATGGGAGGGTCCATCGTGGATGTGGGTGGTACCACCCAAGGGCCAGATAGCCTGGAAGGGAGGCAAGGGGCCAGGCATAAGCTCAGTGGCCTAAGTACCTAGTACTAAAAAGTCAATGAAGTGGTAGGCTGCTACTGTTGCTTCCTGCCTTCTGTACACTCTGCTTTGTGATGGTTTCTCCTCTGTGATGTCTCTCTGCTGTGCTGGCCTGCCTTGGAGCCAGCTGACCATGGACTGAAACATCTGTGAACTGTGAGCCAAATAAACCTTTCCTCCTCTGACTTTGGGTAGTGGGTATTTTATTTCAGCAATAAGAAAGGACCAAGACTAAGGCTAAATGCTGTCAGTAAGAGACCAGATCGGGGGACACATCATGAAACCTGATGTTATCTTTTAGGTTGTATGCATAGATACAATGACCATGTTTTTTTTCAGAATTGTTTGTTCCTACTACAAAGATTTAGTACACGAGAAGGCAGAGGCTCAGAGTCTTGTCGATTTATTTCTACCATTTTTTCCTTTTAGGTTTCTTCTATTTCCTTACAGATAAGGATTATATAGACATTACTGAGAAATGGAATACTTAGTGAAGAGCTTGTCCTCCAAAATGCATGAACCTCACTTTCCCTGCCTCAGATTAGCCTCCCAGACTGCTGGGGTTATAGGCACCACCACACTCAGCTTCCAGGGGTTTCTTCATTGATCTTTGTGCCTTAAAAAACCTGAATTTTTTAAAAGTAATCAGGAATTCTGAAAGTATGTGTGAAATAGTAAGTGTAATAAAACCTAAGTGGGACATGTCTGTAATCTGAACATTTGCGAGGTTGAGGCAGGAGGATTACCATTAGTTTCTTTTTCTTTTTCTTTTTTTTTTTTTATGTACTAGAAATCAAATTCAGTACCTTGCGCCTGCTAGGTAGGTGCTGTGCCACTGAGCTATATCCCCAGCCATCACCATTAATTTCAAGTCCTACCTGGCTTAATAGTGCATTCTGGCCAAGCCTGAACTACATCATGAGACCCTGTCTTAAAAACAAAAACAACTGAGAAGTGCTATGTTTTGCAATACCAGGGATCAAACTCTAGACCTTACACTTGCAAGGCAGGCGCTTATGCCTCTTAGCCATCTCCCTGGCCCAAAAAGTGCTATGGAAGTAGGAAAGGAAGATATGTGAAGGGTACATACTATGACAGTGAAAAAACAATGTTTTTGCAGACGACACAACTCTAAGCTCCACATAGATAGTACATGAAATAAGGATACCATGTTCAACAATTCTAATCTTTTCTATAAATTTAGTAAAATCTGACAGGACAGAGTAATCTTTAAAACTGGGTGTGTGGTGGTGCATCCCTATCCCCAGGACTCAGATGGCTGAAGCAGCAGGATCACTGAGTTCAAGGCCAGCTTGAGCTACATAGCAAGAGTCTGTTTCAAAACACAAATCTTGAAAACAGTAATTTGTGTGTGTGTGTTACTGGGGACTGGGCCAAGCTAGGCAATCAATGCCACTGAGCTACATCCCCATCTCTGCAATTTCAGTAGAGCCATGTATCCTTTTCTTTTAAATAAGCAACGCTAGAATCAGCTGTAGATTTTTATTTTTAAGAACATAGCAAGTAACAAATGGCAATGACAAAGAAACAGGCACTTATATGCTAAACAAAACATTTTTCCCATAGATACAATACTGATTTATCACCAAACCATGGGGCCAGCTCATTAAGCTTAGTAGCTTCTGTATGGGCTGAGGGAGTGGCTTTCCCTACTCA